TGTAGTTTTCCATGATGTTTTAAAGGTTATTCTTCGGCCAGAGCCTTTGGACTGTTTTGACAATATAAAGATTGTTTTAGGCTGTTCCTTAGCTCATGCGACGCCCCTTCCACCAAATGCGATAAAAAACAAAATAGCCAGAGGTCAATAATGAGTTTGCCTTATTTTGCATGCTGCTAGCAAATGCGCGAATGAAGAAAAGGCTAGCGTCGGTATGTGCTGACTTTGTTTTGGGCACTGTGTTCACTGATGCGACATTGACACGGGACTGACCTCATGTTTGCCACCGGACCACGAACCGTGGTTCTCCATCTCCTCCACAATTTCATCACAGGCCTTTTCCGTGAAGACCGGAAACCAGAACACATCTGGACAAGGCTGCGGGCCAAAAACACACACACTTATTTTGAAGTCCCACCTTCGCCGTGAGTAGACCGTTCCCGCAATCTTGAGTTATTTAGATTAAAAACAGATGGTGGAATCCACGTACTGTCTGGCATTCAGTCATACTGTACTCTTATCTGTAAAAAAAATACACACAAACCTCTTCCAAGTAGTTCTCTGTGAAGATTTTCATGTAGTTGGGATGGATGTACTTCTCCTTCCAGTCCTGCAAAGACCATTCGGTATTAGAGGCCTTTTGTTGGACTATTTGATGACCCGAATACCAGGCAGCACTAATCCTCTCCCGCAACTAGCAATCTCCCATGGCGCCACACGGCACATTCGGAGTCGCGTCTCATGACTTGAGTCTTTTAATTAGGGCTACCAAGCTCCTCAGGTGGTTACTCGCCTTTCTGCAAATCAAAGGTAACGGCAGTAGCTACTTACCAGGGGATTTTCGAATATCTGCCACAAGTCACTGTTATAGTGAGAAGTGTTATAATTGGCTGCGGAAAGGAGCCTCCCAAATTCATCGCGGTTTGTTAAGTACATGAAGACTCCCTGCAGCAGATAGGAAAAGCCGTAGTTACGCACAAGGCATAAAACGTACACTTCAAAATGTCTGACAGGAGGCTTTAGATATACATTATTGGTGCAATGTAATTATTGGTTAGCACTCTGATAGCAAATTGTAAATGTTTTTTTTTTGTTTGTCTGATTTAGGTAGAGCAGAAACAGAAGCCAGATAAATAATCAAAGATTATTTATGGGTGGGATAAGAGTGGCTCAGGAGGGGGGTGGGGGGCGTTCACGTGGGTGTTGGTGGGACGGGAACAATTCAGGGTGGGGGGTTGGTGAAGTGAAAGGAAGGGCAGGAGAACAGGGACAGAAGGGGTGCAATTCTAGGAGCAATATTGTCTTCTATAGGGAGGCAGGTTTTGGACACAAAATCAGACTAGGCTTCGTAATGATCAAGTTCACAAAATGTCACAAAAGTTTGCAAAATGTCCGTCATAAAAGTCTGTGTTG